GAGTCGATACATCAGCAATCCAGGTCAATCTCATTGGATGGCAATGAAACGAGTTTTGGGATATTTAGAACATACCCAAAACTTTGATTTGCACTACAGTAAATATCCCGCGGTGATTGAAGGATATTGTGATGCAAATTGGATCACCGGTTCAACTGATTTGAAGTCAACAAGTGGATATGTATTCACTATTGGTGGAGGAGCGGTATCTTGGAAGTCGTCCAAACAAACTTGTATTGCCCGCTCTACAATGGAGGCTGAGTTCATAGCCTTAGATAAAGCCGGTGAAGAAGCTGAATGGCTTTGAAATTTCTTGGAAGATATTCCATTATGGCCCAAACCGTTGGCACCAATATGCATATATTGCGATAGCCAAATAACAATTGGAAGGGCTGGGAGCGTTATGTATAACGGTAAATCTCGTCATATACGACGAAGACATAAAACCATTAGGCAATTACTCTCTAGAGGAATTATCACGATTGACTATGTAAAGTCAAGTGATAATGTGTCGGATCCACTTACAAAAGGCCTAACTAGAGAGGTAGTTGAGAAATCATCGAGGGGAATGGGACTATGGCCGAGAACAAGTCATTGTGGCGGTAACTCTACCTAGAAGACTGGAGATCCCAAGATCTAGGTTCAAGGAGATCAAACAAAGTCATTAATGACGGTTCAACATTGTCAACAGAAGTTTTGGTCCATTCTCGTGATGAGACAATGTTCAGTACCAAGGATAAAGCATTAAGGCTTTTTAATGATTTATAAATTTGATACGTGGTATTTCAAATAGTGTATCTACTGGATGACACGTTTAGGAATCACTTATGTAAGTGTGAAGTGTTAGCCGCTTCAAGGAGAATTTTGCAAGGCCAATTCTCTACGCACTTATGAAACCATGCGGTGTTCATGGCTGAAACGAACACAACAATGAGAACCAAAGATGGTTAAGGGTTGATTGTGTGACTTATGGTTGTCTAGGTATACACTAAAGTTCGACGGTTCAAAGATATCAAATCTACCGATCGATCGAGTATATCCGACATAAGTTCACTACGGAAAGTTCAAAGGGAAACCTACTTATCCAGATGCAATTAATCTTTGCTTGCGAATCACACAAGTTTTTCATGCATACTTCCGTGATATAGCCATTCCCCATTCATGTGGGGGATTGTTGAGTTTATTTTTAATATGGAAAAGTATTTAAAAGATGATGAATGGGAAATGGAGGGAAAATAAAATTTTTGAGTATAATTTTAAGTTTTCCTCTCTTTTTAATGAGACATTGTCCCATATTGGAAGAGGAAAAGGATTTTGGTGGGTTTATATACAAATGCATTTCATGTAGCTCTTAAAGAGTTAAGAAAAAGGCAAGCCTCGCGCCGTCGTCGTTGTCGCTCGGCTTCGGCTACGGCTACGGTTACGGCTTCGGATTCAGATTCGGATTCGGATTTGAATTTGGATTTGGATTTGAATCTGGATTTGGTCAAATGATCGATTGATTGATTAATTTTTTGGCACAAATTTATTTGTTAATAGTGAATATTAACGTAATATTATCCGTGTTTGTAACGGATGTTTTTCAATCCGTAGTATCTTCGGCCAAGTGCATACCCCATTGTCCATTGGCAGCCTAGTGCTCCATGAGCAAGTGCTCATTCCACCATGGTAAGTGCTTCCTCCATAATAGCCTAGTAATTGCTCCACCATTAGTGATGGCTGGTCATTCTCTTAACAAGCTAACTGCACTATAAATATGGCCAGTAGTTGTTAGAGCAAAGACACAGTGAAAAACGTTGATATCCTCTTCAGTAAGAACTCAACATCGGCTATACATTGCATTCCTTTCTTCTCATAATTTCCATTCGACTTCTGGGTTCTCCTCCTTTATTCTGCGTTGTTTTTAACTACAAACAAAGCATCCGTAAGTGTGATTTGCTGCCAAACTTTGTGTTCGCTGAAACACTGGGGTTTGAAGTACCGCTACACCAGTGTGTAATTCGTTCTATCCTGGGAGGAAATAATACATAACCTTGGGTACTAGGAGGGGATTAAATTCCATAAGGAAACACTGTAAATTCAGTGGGCTCGAATTAATTACTGTTTCATTTATATTTACGTTTATACGCTAACGTTTTATTTTCCAGAATTATTATTTACAAATACAGAATAATAACAGGCACCAACAGAGTTCAAGTGCTCAATGGAAACAAGACTTAGTTTAATGTTTAAATGAAAAAAAACTCGAATAATTAAGTTAGAAGGCTACGTATGTGTTCAGCCTATTGTAAATTTATCTCTCGCTCAAAAAATAAATCCAAACTAACATTCGACTGTACAATTATTCAAAGATATAATTAGAAAAGACTTGGTTGGTGAGACTAGGATTATAACTCTGTTATAAAATTTAGGATAATATTTATTCAGTGTTTAGTTAATGATATTAGCCAAATTATAATGAAAGTTTGATATTGTTAGCCTGCACTGGATGGAGGATTATAATTCAAGGATGGGTTACCTCTCCGACCTGTTATGATTCATTTATCGGTGAATCAGATTCACCGATAATTAAGGTGAAGTATGAAAATTACTTTTTTTTTAAACTACGATACTGAATTTTTTGTTGTTGTTAATATTGTTGTTGTTGCTGTAAACTATGGAACCTACAACCATTGCCCTTCATGTGTGTTATGGGTAAACCCTGCTCCAATTTAGCTCGCAAACCACACTGGAGAGGTAAATCTCACTAGGTGGATCCCGTGCAACGAGCTCGCTCTAGAAAGCATGCGTGAGTTTCGAACATGCGGCCTCTCATTTGGGGGATTTCCTGCTCAACCAACTCGGCCACCTTTACGAGATTCAAATTATATAGTATATTTTTTGAATTATACATTGCATATCTCATTTTTAATTCAACAAATCTAACAAAGCACTAGCACTGATTAATTTTAGATCAATTTCAATAATAAGTTTCAACATTATAATTCCACCATAAATTTGTTCGCGAATCAAACCATCTATAATAATTTTAGCTAGTGCTACTGGTATAATTAATGAAGGGAGAATTACACTCCTTATCACTTGGCTCAATAGCCCATAAAAATGACCTACGTTTGAAGCTCTTAGACAGTATGACCCAAGTTGTATATAATGTAAAAATTACTTTTCACCCATTAACCCACTCTTGTTAATTTGATTTTATTTTCTCTGTTCTTCTTCTCCTCGTGTCCCAACTTTGCATCCCTAACTTTCTCCATCATTGTTATTATCCATCAACGCTAGCTCCTCCAGATTCAAAGCCAATAATTACTATTTGCATGAAGAAGATAAAATAATACATAAAAGAATTAGTCCTTTGGAGTCATGTGAAGATCACTTCCTTCAATGGAGTGGAAAGAACTGTGTTTGCACTAAAGAGATTCCTTGGTAGGTTGTTGGATCACCAAACTAGAAAGATGGTATTGGCATGGTCCCGGTCTTATCCTCATTCCACGTGTAATTCTAATTCCAGTGGTTGATTAAAAACTTGGAAAATAAAATTCACCATTAAAGGTGTTTCAAGCTTCGATTTCAGAAATTGCATTTTTTGATTTGTTAGTTGTTCGGATCGGGTGTTGTCCCAGTTGATTTGAATCATCAAAAGGAGTTCAAAACTCAAATTTGAAGTGACTTGGAGTAGACTCAAGCTAGATTTGAGTTAAATTTTAGAAGATACCCAAGAAAGAAGAAGAACATGTGAAGCTCCATAAATAAGATCCATGTGTATAATAATGTATAAAATTGTATAAATAGTGTATAAACAACTCTCATACACAATAATACACTATTTACATGTATTTGATAAATTTCTCACATATTCTTCTTCTTCTTCTACACGTATACACATAGGTATCACAAACATTTTGTTATAGTGCTTGTACATCTTTATACACGTTTATACAACTATATACATAATGTACCTATTTGTATAAATGTGTATAAACATCTCTGACGAACTTCTTATACGATTTCGCCTGCAATTCTTGTTCAAAACTAGTCCAAAACTCCATCAAATGACTTCAAACTTTGTATACAAACCTACTTAGACTATTTCTAATAAGTTCAAACAATACCCATTCCAAATTTCTCGCAAAATTATATTTTAAAAATACAAGATTAGCATTGAAGAAGAAGATATTTTAGGTTTCTCGTGTCTGTTTTTGCATTTTTGTAAATGGGATATGTACGTATAAACTTGAGGAAAATAGGAGAATGGAAATTCAAGAATCTTTCGCGCCGGAACATCTGAAGAATTAAAAAAAAAAGGAAAAGAATTTCGGATATGTTTATTGATATTTGGCTACACATTTGCAAATTTATAACTGGACTAAAATACTGCAAGGTCACCTTATAGAGTGATCTATTATGTAATTCTTCACTACCTTTTTATGATTGCTAAAAAGTTTCAAAGGAAAAAGGTTTTAGTAGGCGTTTAGACATAAAAACTGTATTTTTGAAGAAAAAAAAGTATTTGAAGTTAGGTAAAAATATACTCCCTCCGTTCTAATTTATGTGAACCTGTTTGACTGGGCACGGAGTTTAAGAAAAAATGAAGACTTTTGGAATTTGTGGTCCTAAACAAGTGAAAAAGGGGCTCAGTATATTTGCGTGGTTATAAAAGTTTCTCATTAAGGGTAGAATTGTAAGTTTAAGCTAAATTATTACCAAATTTAGAAAGAATTCATTCTTTTAAAACGGACCAAAAAAGAAATAGGTTCACATAAACTGGAACGGAGGGAATAGTATTTAGAATTTAAAATTATATTTGGGCACGTACTTCACTTGAAAAAAAAACTTTTCAAAGTACTTTTGATAAAACTTATATTCGAAAAATCTCAAAAAACTTAAAAATTTCATGAATAATATGTTTTTTCAAACACAAATTCGAAAAAAAAATAATTATGGACAAACCGATCCTTGATATGTTCCCTTTGTTCTCCCATTATATATGGCAAAAGCCAAACGGAACAAACCATCACATCACTCCCACTCCACCACATCTACCCATTAATTAACACATCCCATTTGATTCCAAAAATCACCGAGAAAAGCATGGAGCTAACAGCACAACAGCTCAAGGCATACGACGGCACAGATCCATCAAAGCCAATCTACGTGGCAATCAAAGGCCGTATCTTTGACGTCACCACCGGCAATTCCTTCTATGGTCCCGGCGGCGCCTACTGTATGTTCGCCGGAAAAGATGCAAGCAGAGCACTCGCAAAGATGAGTAAGAATGAAGAGGACGTTACCCCGTCACTCGATGGCCTTTCTGAGAAAGAAATGGGGGTTCTCAATGATTGGGAGAAGAAATTCGAAGCTAAGTACCCAATCGTTGGAACTGTTATTTCTTAATCTAAATCAAGTGGGTTTGGGGATCTGGAGCTTTTGATGCAATTATGAATAAATATAGGGTTTCCTTAGGATGGTATTGCGTATTTCTCATGGGTCTGTTTGTGTAATAGACAAAATTAACTTGTGACTTTTGTGCAATTACGAATAAATCTAAGGCTTTACTCTCGTTTTTCTTGTGGGTCTGTTTGTGTATGATTGATGTATATGCTGTTTGGGATTTGGAAAGTGGGATGCACAGTTTTGTAGCAATTCGTATCTGAATTGCAACTGATTTAGCACGCGGTACAACAGTGTTTTGCGCTGATGAAAAGACCGTTTAGTGGTGGCATGGGTTCTATAGGACGTGTGCTTTCCCTTACTTTCTTTAACATTTGTTCAACAAAACTCTGCCTGTATTTTAGCTTCTGCTTCAGACTACTTCCCTCCCTCTTATTTTGGTAGTAGATTTTATAGCCGGAATCTATTATCTTGCTGATTTTTTCTTTACACTTGGCACTTTTGGTCCCTTAATAATTAGGAGTTGCTGATTTTGTATTGCAAGAGCTAAACGCGAGAAAAGAAATCAACATCTCTTCCCTCTATTAACTTGACGCATAGCAATCTAACTACTTGCTAATGCTTATTTATGCGCTGAGTTTTTTTAAGGAATTATCTGTTTTTAAACCCAGTGTTGTGAATAGCGTGAAGCGAGAAAAGCGACAACTCCTATTTCGCTTAAAGCGAGAAGCGAAGTGCTCCTTGAATTTTAAAAAAAAAATTAAAATAAATACTGTATAGACAAAAAGAAATTCACCAGTATGTCACTGCTATTTGCACATTGAAACAGTTGAAAGAAGAACCCTAGTCGCCTGACTTTCTCTAACACTGTTAAAACCAGATTTTCGCGATTTTCCCTCTCTCAATGGTCCATTGGACACACGACGGGAGCTTTATACCATTTTTTCTACTATATGAAACCATTTATGACTAGAGAACGAAATGTTCGGTTATACTTGAAAGAGTGTTAAGAAAGTAAAAACCGTAGTGTCTGATAAAGAAAGGATAAATTACAGTAAATAAAACCAACCCTTCAGAACTTATTAATGCATTTTTTTCGATTTTTTCTATAACCGAGAAATCCTGAAAGCTTACCCTCGAATCTATGTTGTGTGTCTAATCCATACATCAGGTACCACGCTGTTAGCATTAGACTAAAATCTTGTGGTTGCATTTCTCGCAAATCTGTCCAGTAAGTTACTGATTCCCAACTTTGTAATAAAAAAGTTGCACTTAGTTGGTACAAAACTTCGTTGCTTCCATCCACGAATGCTATTGCGACATCTTTTTCACCAAGCCAGCGAGCAAGTGTCATCAAAATGGAAATAAATGCAGATGTTTTGATTTACTAGATCCGACAGGATTATTACAGTTGCAGATGATTTTTAAGTGGAAAGCATCATTTTTGTGGCAATGGATGTTCGTTTCACGCCCATGTTTCCAACTACAATGTATCACGCCCATGTTTCCAACCACGGGAAGCCTCTTTCTCACCATGTCACCTTTTTCAAACATGTTACTAGCGCTTTAGATTTTACCAAACTCTAAAGTTCATTACACGTAATGTTGCACGTTGATGCGGACCTCCCTTAGAAGCACAACAACAAATTCTTTAATCGGCCTATTTGCATACAAAGTATGGCATATACCTATGCTGTATATTCTATTTCATTTCTCTGGTAGTAGGTAAATTCTTAGTAAATACCTTTACATGTGTGTCTATGTATTTAGAGATCTTTCAGGAATCTAATTTTCCATACTACTTGGAGCATGTGACTTTTCGTCAGTTGACCAGCTATTAGCTTAATATAAGAACAAGATCACGGGAATGACAAAAAGAAACAAATATGTTCCACTAATTATGAATCACGCTAATCAGTTCGTCAAACCTATCCACAAATATCTCCATCTTTATGAAACTAAAGTTCTCCGAGGTGTACATTCTCTAGTCCAATAGTAGTGTACATATCCTATAAAAGAATTTAGCTCGCTCCACGTATATAATAGCCGATTGACGTCAGCAAGAATGTCAATGGTACCTGGGGATGAAACAGGATGTTTCCACTCTCAGACTTTTGGTATGCTCCAATAAAAACGAATGGAATAGTTGTCCTAGCAAGACGAGACAGAATGACATCTTTCCTGTTCAAGCCAATGAGCACACTTTGTCTGGAAAATAGAGAGTTCTGTGATGTTAGCACACTGAATACAAAGGTCAACATTTAATAACATAAAATCACTTGACTTAGAAAGAGCAGAATATATACAAAACAGAAGGGGAAAGCAGTAATTTCGGTTTCCGTCCTTTCTTCTCATAGGATCCTTTCACTATCCTTATACAGTAAAAATAGTCGTCGTTGAGCTCCTCGCTTTCTGCTTTCGTGATTCCCTCAATTGTATCCAGGGTTTCATGCACACTCGGTCAACAAAAAACATTGATCAAGAATACTCTCCAGGGATCACAAGCCAAAAGACTTAACAACAACAACAACAACAATTACGCCCCAGTCCCAAACAAGGTCCGAATCCTCACTTCTTTCTTTAAGCTTACTCATATCATCGCCATACCAAATAAAGAAAGTGAACGTGAAACAAACCAAAGGACTTGACCTGGTTAAAATCCGCACAAATAAGACTAACTATTTACCTTGTCCGGAGGTGCTACAGCATAGGCGGCTGTCATCTATGTAAGTCGTCTGAAGACCCATCATCCATGATCCAATTGATGTATCTTCATGCGCATAACTCTTCAAGGAAGCACTGCAGAACGGAAAAATAACACACTTAGAAACAGATACTAGACCAGAATCAGTGATGTCAGTTTCTTCAACGCAATACATCAAAAAAGAGGAAGAACAACTTATCCAAGAATTTCAATAAGGCAAACGATATCAAATGCTCTTAAGCTATTTAAAAGTCTCAATTAAGCCCTTACCTCTTGTTGGCATGATTAAATATTCAGAGTCTTAGCTATGCCTTCTACGATTTTTAGTCCTTAATTCCTCTTCCAGTGTCTTCTATTATCGACCGTTAGTAATGCTAAATTTAAGGGTATTTTTCACTTTTCTTGTGCTGGTGGAGTAATTCCAATATTTCCATCCAGATTCTAGTGAACCTCAAAGTCAAATGCGCCTTTTAAGTTGAATTAGTCTTATCTAGGCCATATATATGTCAGTTAACTCCATCTAACCACTACCATAAAATTGGCCTTTAAAACGGGAGAAAAAAGCAATAGTTTGGAGTTCCGGTGCAAATATTATGTCCTTCACTGTGCGTGTAAGAGGGTTCAATAGTACATCTGCCAAGTTATTTCTGATAAAACCAGAACAAGTTCATGTATGGCTAACCTTTTTTTTTCAAATAACAATAGCTAACCTGTTTATGTTAATGTACTGAGCCAAATTTTTGGAAAGCACCAGAACTGAACCAGCTGCATGCCGGAAGTACCTGAAAAGAAATCCATGTCATTCTAGAGTACAGAGGAGTGACGGGCCACGGAATTCACCCAGGTACATCGAGAACGTGGACAATTGAAAATTTGGCCCAAACTATCAGTTAAGAATTTCATTTGGAAAGACTAATCCAAGCACTCTCATATGCGCTCACACCAAACATACCCCAAACCACAGAAAATGCACGATAACTTAGGAAAATGCAAATAGTAGTGTAACTGAAGTCTGAAAAGCAACTTTACATGCTGCAAACATTAGCAAATTAATGTTAACCCTTTTCAATTGAGGAATTCGTCAACAAAATAATCTAACTAGACGTAAGATACAATAATTACTCCTCCATCCTAGCTTATGTGATGCAATTTGACCAAGCACGAAGTTTAAGAAAGAAAGAAAGACTTCTAAAACTTGTAGTCTAAAACAAGTCATAGATATTTGTGTGGCTATATATCATCTCATTAAGGGTAAAATGGTAGGCTTAAAATTAAATTATTTCTAAGGTATCATTCTTTTTAATACAGACTAAAAAGGAAAGTGCATCACATAAATAGGGACAGACAGAGTTGGTTTTTACAAGCAGTTCCAGATCTGCCACTTCATAGTAAGATAGATCGATAACATTTACTAAAAGAATATCTGCAAAACCTTGTACATAGGCTTGATAGCTGCATCCATGACACTTGAAGACTAATTCAACCGAAGTCAACCAAGTGAAAAGCATTCTAACCAAATCATCTTACAATTAAAATTACTATGCATATACTTTTAGATGTGAGAGAATATAGACCTGGTTTATTACCGATAAAAATAGACTTAACAGTCATTTGGACATAATTGCATAAGCTTATAGAAAAGCCAGAGTACCTCATACAACAATAAGGAGGCATCACTTCTTAGGACTCGGTAATACTTACGATTTCTCGTCTCCGAATTTCCACCATTCCGGCTCATACCATGCCCTTCCCCTGGAAAAGGGAAAAGGTAGAAGGTGAAATATTAATGCTTGTATACATGATCTTAAGCTGGGTTAAATCTGAATGAAAATCTTACTCTTCTGCAACTACTTCTCCAGATTTCATGCATCCAATGTAAGAACTATTTTGACCACGCCGTTTTTGAAGGAGCTCAATCAACCCATCTGACAGAATAAAGATAAATAGAATGTTAAAAAAGCTCAAATCTAGGGACACATAGATCATAATTCTAGAGGACGGATAAGCAAGGATTTTACCAAGGTCAACATCAATGTTGTCATCAACTTTCACATAAAACTCTGCGTCCCAATTTTGTATTGCTGAACTAAAGAAATATTTAGCTTTCTTGGGCAACTCCTCCTGAGCTTCCTCGTGACTTTCCTTTTAAATAATTGGAAAAATATAAATAAGCAAAAGTAAGCTGCATATGGAACAAGTTGAAACAAAGTAATCAAAAAATTAGGAGAATGCATGCAGGCTAAGTTCTAATGATTATTTACACATATGATCATTATTATTAATATGCATATTTGCAACCAACATGTCTGTACAGCAACGGTTTGGATAGAGCCTAACTCAAATTATGCCACAAAAAAATACAGATAGGTCAGACAAAAATGACTATAACCAAACTTACTAGAATCAAGAAATCTTTTGTTACTCGGTTCTCCTCATTAATATTGCGGTCCAAGCTATCACCACGGTTGGGACTGCCAAGTTCAAGTAACCCAGAGATGAATAAAGCCACTAAAATTTCAAATGTATATTTCCAGTTTTCAGTATGCAGCACAAACCTCCGACCAATGACAAATCGCACAACCACTCCTCTTTCTTCAAGTTTCGACAAAGCATCAACTGTCACAGAAAAGAAAATATTAGATGTGTCAGATGCACCAGCAAGACCAG